CGGTGTCCAGCAGGCAGCGGCGCTTTGAGGGGACGAGGACGGCGGGTTGCGGCGGTGTCCAGCAGGCAGCGGCGCTTTGAGGGGACGAGGACGGCGGGTTGCGGCGGTGTCCAGCAGGCAGCGGCGCTTTGAGGGGACGAGGACGGCGGGTTGCGGCGGTGTCCAGCAGGCAGCGGCGCTTTGAGGGGACGAGGACGGCGGGTTGCGGCGGTGTCCAGCAGGCAGCGGCGCTTTGAGGGGACGAGGACGGCGGGTTGCGGCGGTGTCCAGCAGGCAGCGGCGCTTTGAGGGGACGAGGACGGCGGGTTGCGGCGGTGTCCAGCAGGCAGCGGCGCTTTGAGGGGACGAGGACGGCGGGTTGCGGCGGTGTCCAGCAGGCAGCGGCGCTTTGAGGGGACGAGGACGGCGGGTTGCGGCGGTGTCCAGCAGGCAGCGGCGCTTTGAGGGGACGAGGACGGCGGGTTGCGGCGGTGTCCAGCAGGCAGCGGCGCTTTGAGGGGACGAGGACGGCGGGTTGCGGCGGTGTCCAGCAGGCAGCGGCGCTTTGAGGGGACGAGGACGGCGGGTTGCGGCGGTGTCCAGCAGGCAGCGGCGCTTTGAGGGGACGAGGACGGCGGGTTGCGGCGGTGTCCAGCAGGCAGCGGCGCTTTGAGGGGACGAGGACGGCGGGTTGCGGCGGTGTCCAGCAGGCAGCGGCGCTTTGAGGGGACGAGGACGGCGGGTTGCGGCGGTGTCCAGCAGGCAGCGGCGCTTTGAGGGGACGAGGACGGCGGGTTGCGGCGGTGTCCAGCAGGCAGCGGCGCTTTGAGGGGACGAGGACGGCGGGTTGCGGCGGTGTCCAGCAGGCAGCGGCGCTTTGAGGGGACGAGGACGGCGGGTTGCGGCGGTGTCCAGCAGGCAGCGGCGCTTTGAGGGGACGAGGACGGCGGGTTGCGGCGGTGTCCAGCAGGCAGCGGCGCTTTGAGGGGACGAGGACGGCGGGTTGCGGCGGTGTCCAGCAGGCAGCGGCGCTTTGAGGGGACGAGGACGGCGGGTTGCGGCGGTGTCCAGCAGGCAGCGGCGCTTTGAGGGGACGAGGACGGCGGGCTGCGGCGGTGTCCAGCAGGCAGCGGCGCTTTGAATGCCGTGCCGGGTGAGTGGTGATCGGAGGCTTGTGCCAATGGTGAGGCGGCGTCAACCCCGGGGGGGGAGGGGGGCTGCTGATGGTGACGGTCTGCCGTCAGTACGGGGGGAAGGGGTGGGGCGGCGTTGCTGTTTTGCCTAGGGCAGCAGCATTTGTAAATACACCGCTGCATGGGGGTGGTTGCTTCAGAGTTACTATTAACTCTGAAGCAACCAGAAACTACAGTGATCCGGCACCTACCAATCCTCGTGGGTGCCAGATAACTGGGAGTTTACTATATTTAAATTAAAGTTTTATTGTACGGAGTTCCACTTTAAAACAATCTTCCTTTTAGAAAATTGCCAAACACAGGTTTTATTTACAGTTGTGTTGATAGGCTGGAACAGGTAAAGTGGCCCAATCACTTTTATATCACATTATACATGCCTAACCAAAGAAAGTATATAAATAAATGTGTGTTACATGTGTAAAGTTCTCACATGTGCAAAAAGTAAAATTTTCTCAGTAGATAGAATCAGAGACGGATTAAGACACAATGGAACCCTAAGCAAGGTAGCAGCTTTGACCCTCCCATCTCTTTGATTGACATTGATAGGTACTCCAATAGGCACTGAGTAGCCACCACATTTGCATTGTCTCTACTGGCATGGTCCTATTGGACATCAACTATCTACAATTGCAACTCCCTTTGTGAAGTGATAGACAGGTGTACTTATTTGGCCTACTGTGCAATCCCCCTGGTTTACTATAGGAGCATGGAGGATGTAGTTGGCCCCTTTGGACAACCACTTGACCCTAGGCTGCTGCCTTGGGTACTTTGTGCATGATCTAGCTCGGGTTAAAATTCCTAATGAGTGTTTAAAATAGTACAATATTAAATCACTGCAGAGTCAGGTCTGTACCTGAATGCATACATGCATTGTTTTACATGTAATCTGATGATACCAGCCATGTACATAACTTCTGAGGCTGGCAGATTCTGTATCCTATTGAATGTTAAAAGGCTAGTAAGGTAGATGCAATTACATGTTGTTGACAGCTGGGTAACTGTGCTAAACTCCCTATTATGGCCATCTGTCAGTGTGATCGTTGTAGCCGAAGTAGATTACATGGGCAGTACAAATTGTAACCTACCTATAGAAATCAATCCGAATTCATTATTGAATGTCAAAGCAATGGCTGCCACAAGTTACTGCACTTTGGATTTAGTCAGTGAACATTGGCTTACTTTATTAAAAAAACAAACTTTGACTTGAACAACAATAACCACTGATTAAAAGAGAACTATAACATAAAGGTTCATGTAGTAACACAGAAATGTGACCAGAACACAAGTGAAAAAAATGTATGAATTAAAAACTGACACCAAAGCTTCATAGCAGGAGTGACTGCATAGCACCTTGTACCATTCAAGCAATATGAAAGAAAAAAAAAATCAAGCAGTTCATGGGTTAGGCACAGATCTCTAATCAGAATGGACAGAACAATGGCAGGTAATCTATTTTAGATCTGAAAGTAGAACTATGGCCTCCCATTTAAAAACAATATACTGCAACTGTAGCACAAATACATGGTGATCCTGCCAGTGAAGTCCACCGAATACAGGTTTCTGTGATGGTATGGCAACAATGCTGCACTGCTCCTGAATTCAGAGCACAGCTTCCTCTCTCATGTAGGCTGTGCCTGCTTGCACTACAGCAGGGTGAGAAATTGTGTAAGTTTCAGCTTATTTAAGGGCAAATTTGGACTATTTGGAAAAAAGGAGGAGAATACCAATACCTGTGGCCATGACTGTATAAACACAACACTGGCAAAAATTGGGGTGCTGTAGTTTTGCCTACACTTACATGTTAATAGATATTTTTAAGCTGGCCATACACTATGCAAATTTTGGTCGGTTCTTTATGAACCAGCTGAAATACGCACAATGGGTGCCGCTGTGAGCACCCTTCCGGCTGGTATCCTTCAATCAAAAGATCGAGACTGGTTAATATATGCGGTAACATACCTCAATGGACCCCAATGATCTAAAAGAGACTTAAAAGTGTAACTATGTCTATCTGAAATATGTGATATTACCAAACAGGGTTGTGAACTAAACATTATACAGCAAGTAGACCTACAGTATTTCATTTGCTTATGGCTGCAAACATTCCATCAATTGAGTTCAATGACGACATTCATTTTTTGCTTATTGTCATGGTGGCCTATCTAGAGCTGTCCACCATTATACATCGTCCTACCTGACCATAACAAATATAATAGAAAGAGCATTTGTTTATGTTTTTATGTATAACTGTATTCATCAAAAAGGTGTAACTCACACTTTAACCACATATCTCACTTTTTTAACGTATATAAATAAAAAAACAAAAATTATTGCAAATCTAACAAATATTATTTTAATTGCAGCTTATTAGTCCTCAGATATGGTGACTGCATTAGTTGTTTTTTTAACCTTTTTTTACCTAGGGGTCTATTCACTAAGCTGCCAAAGGATCTAGCCGTAGCTTCGGCTGATCCTTCGGCTAGCTTCGGCCCCAGGATCCCTTCGGTTCAGTACAACCGAAGGGCTGCTGTACGGGCTATTCACTATAGCCCATACAGCTCCAGAAGTCGACTGAGCCAAGGTGGAAGCGGAAGCTGGCTGACAGCCTGCTACTGACTGCTCGGCGGAGCCAGCCGTCATCTCACGGCTGGCTCCGGCCCCTTGCACAGACAGATCAGGGACCCTGGTTACCAGGTAACCAGGGACACTGATCTCCAGACAGCCCAACTCTCTCGGACGCTCCGGGAGTCCCCCGCTATTAGATAGCGGCTCCCGGCCGCCCGGGAGAGAAACACTTTCTCCCAGAAAGGTTTACTCTGCTCGATCAAGCAGAGTAAACCTTTCCCTGCTCTGTTTTCTTTTTATTTTTCTTCTGACATCGGTGGCATTGGCTGCCGTCAGGATAAAAAAAAATCACCATAGGAATGCATAGCTAGATTCCTATTGGCTATTTCAATTTTCAATAGCCAATAGCAAACTAGCTATTGCACCCACCCACTGCTGCTGTCAATCAGCAGAGGGGACCTGAAGTTCTCTATCAGGTCCCCTCTAGTGATTGACAGCAGCAGAGGACGGGTGCAGTAGCTAGTTTGCTAATGGCTATTGCAAAGTGAAATAGCCAATAGGAATCTAGCTATGTATTCCTATGGTGTTTTTTTATTTTATTTATTTTTTATTCTGACCGCAGCAGAACCACCCTGCAAATAGAAAACAGTTGGGCGTAGCTGGCTGTCACTGCTAGCTCAGCCAAATCATTTTCTATTTTATTTTTTACTATTTTTTTAACTGTTTTTCTATTCTGCTCGGTACCACAGAGGTACCGAGCAGAAAAGACGAGCCGAATGCCGCTCGCCAGCATTCGGCTATTCACTCACTGCTGTTCGGCATCTGAAGTGAATAGCCCACGTTCGGCTCACTTCACTTTTGCTCGTTTATTCACTCGGCTGCCTATGGCAGCTTAGTGAATAGACCCCCTAGAGTTACTGCAGTTGCCCACTTCCTGTTCTAGGGCAGAGCTGTGTTGTCACCCTGGAACAGGATTACAGTAAGCCTCCCTCTCTCCTCTTCTCAATAACATGGCTGAGGAGTTTGTAGTGCACAAAGGGAGCTGGAAACAATGTAACTGATAACAGTCAGCATGGGCAGAGAGCCCAGGAAGTTATCAGCTCACAAGATTTCTGGCAGAATCAGCAGGTATTTTTTTACACTTATCAAACAAATATAGATTTCACTTATCAAACAAATATAGAGTATACAGCATGCTGGGACTTTAGTACTACATAACACTTTTATATGCTATAACTGGAATGTTATAGAAAAAAATCTTACCAAAAAACAAGTGTTTCCAAAAAAGATATTCCAACATCAGAAGCTCCCACCACCACAATGCGGGCATTGATTGTCATTTTTGGCTCAAAGGTAAGCTTTCGGTTGAAATGGTATAAAGCATAACCAGGCTGGAAAGGTGAAAAAAATTACACTGAGATAAGGAATGGAAGCCATACAAGGAAAATCATAAATATGCGGTACAATGCAACAAAGGGAAATCTAAGCATTCCGCTGACAAGGATTTACAACCATTAACAGGTCTGGCGCAACAAGGAAAATGGCACAGCACAACAATAATTGTCAAGTCTAATTATACAAATTTGAAGCGTATTTAAAGCTAAAACCTTTTCTTTAGCTGTTGGATAGAGTAGAGAATAGTTAGAACTAGGTATGCATCGATACAGATACTAGTATCAATATCGGTGCCGATACAGGGCATTTTCACAAGTACTGGAGCCTGGTGAGACCACACACAGCCCTGGTGAGACCGCCCAGCTCTGGTGAGATGCCGCACAACCCCTAGTGAGACCGCAAAGCCCTGGTGAAACGCTGCACACAGCCCTGGTGAGACCACGCACAGCCCTGGTAAGACTGCACGCAGCCCTAGTGAGAGCGCACACAGCTCTAGTAAGGCCGCACACAGCCCTGTCAGGATGCTGCACATAGCCCTGGTGAAACCACGCACAGCCCTGATGATACCACGCACAGCCCTGATGATACCGCGCACAGCCCTGGTGATATGGCACACAGTGTCACTGATGATGTCACTGCTGCATATCAAGGTAATACTATAACTGGGTCTGCAAAGGAAATAGGAGCACACAAAGTAGATTTATGTCCTTTGTTGTTATTAAGGAATATAATGAAATTATATATTTTTTGAATTTACAATTCATGAATTTTGAAAAGAAAGTTGTGTATAGTTCGCACAGAGGCAGGGCCGGATTTGGCACAAGGCCACTGAGGCCCGGCCTCAGGGAGAAGAAGGGCAGCAGAGGTGTGGAATCTCCCGACGCCCGGGACATGCTGATCTGGGCGCCAGGCGTTAAGTTGTTTTCTACATTTAGCCCTGTTTTGGGCAAGCAGGGCTAAATGTAGAGCACGGAAGCCACTGGTTTGTTTACTTGTGATCTTGGCGATGTCGCCGAGATCACTTGTATGCAGCCTGCAGGTCCATCCTCCCCCCGCGCCTACCTCTCTCTTCGCTGGCTCCATCCTCCCGACACCGTCCTCCCCCCTGCCGCCAATAAAGAGAACCTGTCACCTCCAAATGCTATGACACAGGGGCTTGTTAGCTCCTGTGTGAAAGCAATAAAGTTAAGTAAAAAAATAAAATTGATTAAAAAAATAATTAAATAAAAAACATAAGTAAAAAATAATAAGAAATAATAATGACATAAAAAAAATAAAAAAGGTGATTATAAAGTAAAAAATAATACATAATTATAAAAAAAAATAAAAAATAATAAGTAAAAAAAATGATCGCATTGAGGAACCTGGCCTTGGGGCAGCAGGGAGAGTAAATCTGGCCCTGCACAGGGGGTAGCCATATTTCCGTATTTCATATTTATGCTTTGTCTCACTGTTCCTCTCTCTAAGTCAACTCTGTAGGGTTCATTTACTAAAGGAGCGCATAATGTTTACCTTGCAAATTAAAGGTTGACTTAGCTTTGTAAATATTGTGAAGCTAGGTTCACTTTGAATACCCAATCACGTGCAAAGGAAATTAAAATTGGAATTTTGGTTTGCACATGATTGGATGATTGATGTGAACACAGCTTTTCAGTATTCACTACGTTAAGTGAAAATTAAGGGTGCATTCACACCAAAATCAGAAGGAAATCGGAAGTCAACGGAGGGTTTATGATGACTTGTTGTAATTGTACCTTCCGAATTCCTTCCGATCCATTGCGGTGCAATCCGTTTTTCAATGGATGCTAACAGAAGGGCAACAAAAAAATAATGGGTGTGAATGGGGCTAGTTCACACCGGGTCCGTCGTGTTACATTGCACTGAAAAAAAAATGGTGCATGTTCTACTTTTTTAAGCGCACCGTAACATAACAGAACAGAAACTAGCCCCATTCACACCCATTCATTTTTCGGTGCCCTTCCATTAGCATCCGTTGAACAACAGATCGCAATGGAACTCAACGGATCTGGTGTGAACGGGGTCCATATTTTAAGAAACAAATTTTTTTTCTTTGCAAATTGAAATTCTGTACTTCTTCTACACCACTATGAGTTATGTCTAACTTGTTTAAACATAATAGATTGCTATACGATTAACAGCATATTTCAGAAGTCGTTAACATACAGAAATCAGTGGTATAACCTCAACTAAAAAGCAGAAACTTAGATGTGCTTGACCATACCAGTAAAAGTCTTCTTGAGCGCCCTGGAAACCCTGAATAATGGCACACTATAATATAAATCGTAATAACATATCCTAGTATGGTCAAAAACTGACTTGCCCCCCTACAGCATTGTGAATTTTCCTAGTGGCCCATCACTATAAATGGTCAGGTTCTGGAGGGCTGAAACGGCATCTGAAACTGCAAGGAAGTGTCAGTACTTGCATGTTAAACACCTCAAGATACAAGGCTACTAGGACATTTAAGAAGACCCTCAAGATATATGCAGGCATATGACCACTAGAGGGTACATTTACAAATCTGTATGTGAAATAAAACATCAAAATATGCAAACAAATCAAAATGTCTTTTTAAAAAAAATAATATTTTAAAACATTAGAAATGTTGGTAATTAGAGAAACCTTTGTGTAACAGGATTTATAATCTGTAGCTGATCTATAACTTGATATATCAATAATATTAATACATTACAAATTAGGTTCTAGTATGTTGTGTACTAAAGTAGTACTAAAGGCTTTATTTTTTTTCTCTCGGAAATAAGTCTGCATAAATGAACTGAGCACAATCAAATATATGTTTCCTCCAAAAAAAGTTCTAAAACTCTCACATTTAATCACAGCCGCAGTCCCAGGTTCTTTTGAGCAGCTTCCCCCAGCTTCTGGTCCACTCATTACTTTCTGCACAGCCAATCCGATCCCCCTACTCGGGACTACGTGCCATTGTGCATGCGTGGTGCTCACATGTTGCTTTATACAATGCTCCCAGACTGCCTATGCCCATCGGTGCAGGTCGCGCCATGACATCAGGTTGTAGTTTCCCTTGGGAGCACACACCAACAGGTGGCTCCTTAGGACTCTTCAAGTGAAGGAGCCCCCCTTACACAGGAAAGCAAGGCCAGAACTGTAGGTACCACATGAATCAGTGGAAAGAAAAATGTAAGCACATTGAACAGCAGCACCCAAGGTGAGTGTTCCCATCAGCAGTAGAAATAGCAAAAAGTAGGCTTTATTATAATTTAAACTTTATTCTGTCTCAATTTTTCATGTTTCATGTTTAAAATGTGGTTCTCTACATGGATCTCAAAAATCTTTTTTTTGTTTCTGTAGGTAAATGTCCTCAGTTTTGTTCAGATAAATTGTGACATCCAGTGGCCAGATAAGGTACCTTTACAGAATGTAATGTGAAAATCATCATGTATTTGGACAAAAACAAGAATTCAGCATTCAGAACCATATCCTTGAAGTAATGGACATTTTTGGGTTATAAAGATTGTTTTGCTCACTGCGTGAAGGGTTTTATGAATGCTTTAAACTGATGTGTTGCATTGGTAAAGTAACAGGTAAGTAATACCAGCCTGGAAAAAGACAACATGTTTTAACCACTTAATCGCCTTCCACAGTATATAAACACCCAAGAGGTCTACTGTGAAGCTGTTCATCCATCCACTGGCACCAGAGTGGGCCTAGGACTCTTTCTGCCTTTTTGCCATATATACATTGGCACCATAGTGGGCCTAGGTCTTTCTTCTGCCTTTCTGACATTCATCTACTGGTACCAGAGTGGGCCTAGACCTCTTTTCACCATTCCTTTTGGTTGTGAGCAACTATCCTCTTGAATCTCATCTTCCCATGTTAGCTCTTGCTTTTAGGTATCTTCTTCTAGACTCCACCTACTACAGTAGTCTACAGAGGGTTTATATATGTTAAGTTGGCCATACATTGGTAGATGTTCGTAGGACCGTTCATATGAAAAATCTTTACAGAACATTTGATAATGCCATTAGAGTCTTACATAGTTACATAGTTAGTCAGGTTGAAAAAAGACACTAGTCCATTGAGTTCAACCTATAGAGAAATGAAGAATGTCGTTCGAAATTTTGAACATTCGATTTTGGAATAAATGGAGTTTACCAAATGAAAACCACATTCCCTGTTACAATTTTGTTTGTTCAAGAGAAATTTTCCATCCTGCACCTTTGATTTTTTCGTCATTATGGTCAAAAATGTTACCCCAGTATATATTAGGAAACTAAACAAATGTTCTGAAAATGAATTCTACTGGTATATGGCTAGCTTTAGTGCTTTGCCATCCCTCAACTGTGCACACTCCTTTATCTACAGGAAAATGCAGTCTCTGCCATTCAGAGCCATCCATTAAAGCAACAACACAGGGACTCAGAAGGTGGGGGCACAGATCAGCTTTTTAAAGCGTCAGACGCTTCTGTTATGCTGCAGGTTATCACATTAAATGTTAACATGTGAAATGATGTGCATTCTGTTGTGGTGTCATTCATTTTTAAGAGTGCCCAAAGACACACATGCAGTGGCTGCCAAAGTACCTCTGCTACAATGCACCACGACTCACATTACTTGCATTGTACTGCACTGCATTGCCAAAAATGCTGCAGGTGTGGGTTTTTTGTGTGTTGAGGTGCCCTGCCAGCTCTAAAGACTCAGCAGAAGGACTTAGGAGGTGCAAAAGGCTGGGGGGCTGCCTGATTGTTATAGAAAAAGTAGAGATTTGCATGTAATATCGCCTGCCAATAATCCTTGATCTACTCATTATTGTGACATTCTCAAAAATTATTTCCTCATATCTTCAGATTGAATAGTTTAGATAGGCAGAGCCAGCTGTCACTCACGCAGCTGGGTGGGTCTCAACAGTATTGTCGGGATCCGTCCTGGCTGCAGTGCTCTCAGTATTGCCAGTGATATACTGAGCTTTGAGTCACGGGAGGAGGTAGGTATATGTCCT